ACTCCCCATGGGAAGCCATACCTTTTTGGAGGAGGGGATGAGGAGTGGGCTGGTGGGAGAAGGCTGGGGAGGTAATGGGGAGAGGGAGGAGGGGGTATCTGTGGTTGGTATGTGGAATGAATAAAAAATTTCTTAATAGAAAAAAGTCTTAGTGCCAATGTGGGTACCTCTACATGAGTATTGGTCACAGGGGTCCCAGAGAGCCCCCAGTATAGGTCATTGCCATTCCTCTTGGTTGCCCACCAGAACTAGATGGTAAGATCCTATTGCTGAAGACACAGCACACTCTGTTTACAGCATGTTGAGAAATCAGGTTGGAACTGACCCAGAAAGTTTTTCCCTGCTGGCTAGCTTCCATAGTGTCAAAAAGTGTTATGCAGGCTGCTGGGGGCGGGGGGGGGGTCATCACAGTAGGGACCCTTCATGCTATCATACCAACTTGCCAAGCAAGATGTGCCTATGGAGGCAGTAATGGCATGATTGTTACAGAGGTAACCAATGCTTTCTGATTGTGTCTGACATCTGTGCTACAAGAGAGAATTCACATCTCATACTGTACACCTGGTCAAAAGCCAAGATTCAGGAGACCAGAGGCTCTAGGGAGGAGAGCCTATTGTCCTGCTAACCAGACATGTTTGTCAAACTGCCTTCTAAATATTTATGCTGAAATCTATAGATTAGTGTTGCTCTCAACCTTGGTCAGAGAAGCTGTAGTGAGCAGCAGTTAGTGCAGAGATTTATAAATGCTTGAAGTGCAGAGAAAACTATGTTAAGTGCTCAGCCCTAAACGAGGCATCCATGTCAGTTCTGCAAGGCTCAGGGAGTATTGTGGAAGAGGAGGTAAAAAGGATGTCAGAGCTGGAGGATGGTGGAGAGCGCTATGGAATACTGGCTTCTGGTTGTAACAGGACCATTGTACCCATGGCCCCACAGCGCCGTGGCCCCAAGGAGCTGTGGTTACCTGCACAAGATCAAGCTAGTCAATGGTTCCAGTGTGGAGGGGAAGGGCTCATGAGGATCTGCCCCTAGCTGGAGTGGGGCAGGAACATGAAGGTAGAGGAGCAGGTGTATGTGGAGGTTTGCAGGGGTCCAAGAGGAGTGGAGGGAGCATATGATCAAGATACATTGCATACAGCTATGAAATTGTCAGAGTAAGTAAAAATTTTTCAAAAGGAATTTCATGTAACATGTTTTGTCTTTTGGCTAACCTACTGGAGGTACCTATAGGATTCTGATGATTCTCTCAAATTAGATCTAATCACCTGGGTGATTCATTTTGGACATTTAAATAAGATTTAAAAAAAAGACCTTTGGGTCTCTATTTTATTTTTATGTATGTGTGCATTTTGTTCATGTGTGTGTATGCAGGTGCATACACACGTGTGTACACATGGATACCAGAAGACAACTGCTGTGGGATGGTCTGTATGTCAAATGCTCTGATTGGTCAATAAATAAAACACTGATTAGCCAGTGGCCAGGCAGGAAGTATAGGTGGGACTAACAGAGAGGAGACTTGAGAGAACAGGAAGATGGGAGGAGACACTGCCAGCTGCCGCCATGACAAGCAGCATGTGAAGATGCCGGTAAGCCACGAGCCATGTGTCAAGGTATAGATTTATAGAAATGGATTAATTTAAGATGTAAGAACTGGATAGCTAGAAGCCTGAGCCATTAGGCCAAACAGTTTAAACAATGTAAGTCTCTATGTGCTTACTCTGTTGGGTCAAAGTGGCCGTGGACTGGAGGGTGAGAGAGATTTGTCCTGACTGTGGGCCAGGCAGGACTGGAGAAGACTCCAGCTACAGACAACCTCATCCTCAGAACACCATCCATTTTTTATTTTTTTTTTTTAGATAAGTCTCTCATTGGCCTGGAGCTCACCAACTAGGCTAGCCAGCAAGACTCAGGGATCACCTTGTCTAGCTCTCCAGCGCTGGGATTATAAGCATGTGTCATCAGGCCTGGTGTGGTAGCACACAACTTTAATCCCAGCACTTTGGAGGCAGAGGCAGGTGGATCTCTGTGAGTTCGAGGCCAGCCTGGTCTACAGAGTGAGTCTCTGGACAGCCAGAGCTATATAATAGAGAGACCCTGTCTTACAAAACCAAAAGCCCAGAATCATAACCAACAAACACCCTCCTACACACAATGTAAAACAAGTGCATGCCATGGTGCCCACACTTTACATGGGTTCCGGGGATTTCATTCAGGCCCTCCAGCTTGTACAGAAAGCACTCTGCTGGCTAAGCTGTCTCCCCAGCCCTGGGTTTAAACAGACCGCCCACACTGACATTCGAAGCTGTGGAAGAACTGAGATCTCCATTTCCACTTGCCTCATTGAAATTTCATGAAATTTTATTACTGTTTGAGGTTTAGGAAGCTTTTAAAAAAGATTTTATGTTTTATTTATGTATGTGTTCCTGTGAATATATGTACAAGTGCATAAGGGTGGCCTAAAATGTGGATGCTGGAACTGAACACGGGTCCTGTGTAGGAGCACCAAGTGCTCGTAACGGCTGAGCCATCTCTCTAGGCCTACTCATGTGGTCAGACCTTCTTTGTGGGACTGTCAGCCCCCAAATAACGACACGGAGAATTCTTACTAATTATGAAAGCTTGGCCATCAGCTTAAGCTTGTCCTACTAGCTCTTATAACCTAAATTAACCTGCTTTTATTAATCTATGTTCTGCCACGTCGCTTGGTTATTACTCCTCTGTACCATATGTCTGACCTCTTCAGTGTCACCCTGGTGTCTCTCCACCTCTCTTCTACCTTGAGTTTTCTCCCTCCCCGGAAACCCCACCTAGCTATTGGCCACTTAGCTCTTTATTAAACCAATCACAGTGATACATCTTCACACAGTGTAAACAAATATCCCTAAACATACTAGGAAGCATTTGACCTTAAAAAACAACAGAGAACCCTTTTGGAAATCATCTCCTGCTTGAACTGTTTCTCACTGAACAAACTGGAGTCAGAGAAATCCTTTGGCTTCTTGGGTTCCTCATGGTGAGCCTGGAGGCCGACTCCAGGGACTGGGAAGATTAGCCTGAGGGTGTGAGGCACCGCAGGTGGCCTGCTAGAGGAGGTCCAGGTCTGAGGAGCCAGGGAGGCAGGTGTGCGTCAAGAACTTGAGAGTGTATGCAGGGGACACATGTGCTTTGGAGAATCCACAAGGCTACGGGGGACAAGAGGAGAGACTCAACTAACCAGCGCCTGGCATGTCTAACCAGTGATCAGAACAAGTCACATTAAAACCACAAGGTTTTTGTTCAGCAAAAGATGTAAAAACCTGATAATATCATGTATTGGCCCAGATATGGCAATCATAATGGATATATCGATGCTTTATGTCCAGAAGGTTCATCTATCAAAATACACAGTGGGCGTATAATTCCGCACCTCTAAAGTGATACTGCAGAAATGCGGATTGCGGTGTGTGGAGAGGTACTATAAGGGTTTCAGTGAAATGTTGTTTGTAAGAAACAGAGAAGGGAAACATCTAGGGGCTCACCAGTGACAGGACAGCCCCTGACTGTGGTAGCTCTGTCCCACACAAGCCTGAGCATCCATGAATAGCTCTGGAGTGACTCTGGCATGAGTCGGGAATTATCTCTGGCCTGTAGCTCTTGTCTGTGCTAAGGTCGTGGTGATTATCTGTCGCCCTTTCTGCACTTGAGTCTTCTCCCATCAGGGCTGCACATTTTATCTCTGACTTCACGCTCCGCTTTGCTCTGAATTGTGGGTTGGGAGTTGGTGTGAAGAAGGTTCTGGAGGGACTGGGTGGGGCGCAAATAGAGAGGAATGGGACTCACTCAAGGCCGCACAACTCTAAGCTTATTTAGCAAGCACAGTCCAAATGGCAGTGCTGGTGACTAACGAGACGGTTTTGTGTCTTCTGTGAGCCTTGAGAAACATTCCTCAGAGGTTCCATTGCCCGCTCTGCAGAATGATGAGACAACGGAGCTTGCTGGCCCTCTGGGTGGCTTTGCTAACTCAATAACAAGACGACGAGGACGACGAGGACGACAGTACACTGCCTGGTACCCAGCAGATGTGTGGCAGATGCGCCCTCACTGAGGTGGCAGGTGCACCCAGCAGCGGGTGAAGAAACCACCTAGAAGAGCAGCAGAGTGGAGGCTCTCCAGGGGACGGGACACAGGGCTCACAGAACACAATGCTGCAGCCACAGGCCGCCTGAACCGCGGGCCCCCAGCACTGAGCTCCCTGTGAGTCAGTGCTGGCCTAATTGGTGGACAATGGCGTTAATGAAAAGGCCATGTTTCTTGACAAAAGCACCCACCCCGCTTCCAAGCCGGGAGACAGCTTGAACCACTTGTGCCCCTCCCCTCTTTCGGGGAGGACTCCAGTCTGTTGGGGAGCTGGGGACACAGACGCCCTCTAATGCTGGGTGTAGGCTTCCACTCACTGGCAAGTTCGTGTTCCACAAACAGCAGTGTGGGGGAACCGGGAGAGGCCAGTAACTCCCTTTGTTTTACGGTGGGGGAGGTGAGCCCCCAAGATGGAAAAGGGTCTATTTGTAGTGACATTAGGGTTGAGCCTAGGTTCTGCTTCCCTCACGTTGGACAACCTGTGGGCTGTGGCTAGATAATTTTGTGACAGGAGGCCTGGGCAACAGAGAGAGAAGGCTTGGAGGCAGGGGGTCCCTGGGAGCAAAGACCAGAGAGGGGAATTGTAAAGGCACCGTGGACACAATAATAACAACAATGTTTTGGTGATGCTCATGGTTGCTGGCATTTGCTGGGCACCTACTTTTTGGCCAGGCACTGAACCAAGTGGCTTACATTGTCTATTTCTCACAGTGACACCTAACATAGGTAGTATTTTTACCCTATTTTACAGATGGAGAAAATGAATCTCAGACAGACCACATCATTGTCCCAGGTTACATGCTACCATTCAGTGTCAGATTTCATTTGTCCTTTTTCATTTCTGTTGTTGTGATGAAACAGCCTGACAAAAAACAACTTAGAAAGAAAGGGTTTGTTTCAGTTTGTAATTCCTCGCCGGGCGGCACAGTGGCAGGAGCTCGCTGGACACCCACAGTCAAGAGCAGAGAGAATCGCTTGTTCGCTTGCTTGCTTACTTCTCAGCTCAGTTTTCCCGTTCTTACCCAGTTCAGGGAATGAAACTGCCCACAGTGGACTGAGCTGCCCGCAGGCCAAGCTGGTGTAGACAACCCTCATTAAGACTGTTCTCCCCAGGTGACTCTGGGTTGTATGGAGTTGATAATTAAAGCCAACCACCAATTGTGTTTGAGCCTTAAGCTATAAGTCTGAATCAGTCTTCACATATAGCATATATAGGTGATCACATGGACATAGTTGGTAATTAGTAACCTTGACAATTCCTGCCATTTAGAGCTGGCTGGAATTTTCTGAATGACTGCAAAAAGGCAAGTTTCCAGAGCATCTGTTACCTGAGCCCAGTGAGTTAGCTGCTTTTGCTATTCCTGTTCCTGTCCCTAACGGTCACAGAAGTTCTGCTAGGTGAGGATGTGCCCCCATCTTCAGATGGGAAGCAGAGTAAGGCGGCCGGTCCACAGGAGCACAGTCGTGCTGGTGGCAGAGCAGGACACCGGACTAAGAGATAAGCATAAAGGATGGCCTGGCCAGGTCTCAGGAGGTGGGGAGGGATGGGCAGGACCAAGCACAGGGCAGCAGCCCCTTCCTGGCTTCCTGACAGCACCATTGTTTGAAGCCGGGTTCTTGGACATCCAGGAAATGGGCGACATCACTCCCAACAAAGGAGAGGAAACTGCCTGAATGTTTCAGCTCCACCTCACAAGCTGGCCCTGGGGCTGGAGATGGGAGCCTGGCCAAGGCAGCTTGACCCTCGACTTGGCCAGGCCATTCAGCCCCCACCCTGTGTCTGCCAGCCAGTTCCAAACTCTTCCAGCACTGACCAGCAGGCCTTCCTGCCCTAGAAGCATCCACAAGCCCCAGGGGTTTTCTTTTCTGTGAGAGCTGTGGCTCTGGGGTCTTGCTGGGTGGACAGTGCCTTCTTTGCCTGATGGCCAGACACCAATGCACCCTTAATTCTGGATGCCAAGCCTGGCCCCTGGGGGCTCCCCATCTGTGCAGGGGCAGAACATATGAGCCAGGGCTGTTCTGGGTCTCTTCAAAGGACTCCTGTTGGATCTGAAAAAGAAACAATGTCCGAGTCCCCAAAGGAGGGGCTTCATCAAGATCGAGACAAGTCACTATGTAAGGCAGAACTCGGAGGGTGGGGGGAGTGGGGTTGAGGGGGTAGGGAGTGGGGGGTGGGGGTGTCTCTACTGGGCTCTAGAGTCAGTGAGACTTGGGTTCAAATCCAGACCCTCTCTCTTAGCCATATGACCTTGAGTAAATCACTGTCTCTTGGAGCTTTTGTCCCTCTCCTATGAGACGCAGGCTGTAAATGCTCCTTGGCAGTTTCGGGGATTAAATGGGGTCATGGGACACTAGATATGTACCAACATACAATTTCTTTTTCCACACCCAGGTAAGAATTGGAGGGAGATGGAGAACCGGACATTGTGGAATCCTGATTCAGAAGCCCAAGGCTCTGGGTGGAGAATAAAGATAAATGTTGTTAGTGAACCTTCCTGAGCAGGTATGAAATAGGACCCACCACATAGCAGCAGAAGTCTGGGCCTGGCACTTGTCACACTTGCAGGTCCCCATTGCTCAGGGTTACAGCCCAGGACCCATCACACTGCAGCAGAGGTCTGAGCCTGGCACTTGCAGGTCCCTGTTGCCCAGGGTTACAGCCACGGAAAGCTTGGCTGGGTCTAGAATAGGAACCACAACCCAGGCTCCTCTGGTCTGGGGCACCAGGTATGTGAGGCCCAGTGATGGTAGGTACACCTTCCCTCTGGACAAGACAGGCTTCCTCTGACTTGAAGGTCCCGGGATGTGAGAGCCCCCTCTCTGCTCCCTTGATCCCTAGCTCCCTAAGGCTAGAGATCCAGGGAACCGAAGGGAGGCTGGGCCACCTGTTGGCTGGTTCCACATGCTGTCTGTCCCTCCTTACCTTCCTCTCCTGGCCATTCAGCATCTGTGTTCATGCAGCTGACCTTGGCCTTTTTCTCTACCTCTCTGACTTGAAGCTCTCCTTCTGCCAGGCCGAGATTAAACCATCCACCTGTTGTGAAGGCAAGGATTTGTCCTACACCATCCATCCAATCTACAGACAATTAGCTGAGCACTTGATACAAGGAATGCCATTGCCTGAGCCTCTACAGAGACCCAGTCAGGAAACATCTCAGGGGTGAGAAAATGGAGGTTCAGAGAGAGGAAGAGATGATCTTTACCCAAGACCTCGCCAGGTGTGGCGACTTATGGGGAACCAGAACTTCCGTCCCTGCTTCAAGTCCAGAGCAGTCGTTTTTCAACTACCAGTTTTCAGCCCTGCCATGGGGAGGGAGGGGAGGCAGGACAGGCAGGAAGAGAGGGGAAGAGCTAAAAGGCTTCCCCATACCCCCTCCTCCCAGCCTCCCACCGAAGGGAACGAATCTCCAGGAAGCCCAGCGGGTGTCCGGGTCCCAGCGCTGATTACAGGAGATGGCACGAGGGCCTGGCGGTTGCCATGGCAACTTCCTGAATCACAGAGCCTGTTCCCGCTGAGGCTCTGGAAAATCAGACATACCTGGGCAGCCACTGAGGCCAACTAGGTCTCTCCTAGAGGGAAACGATTCGTGGAAACGTGGCTTGCCTGCTCACAGAAAGTCGGCACACGCGTGTGTGAGCCACGGTGGCTGCAGGTGTACAGCCGGGGCGAACGTAGCTGGGCGCAAAGCTCCCGGGCCACACAGAAGCGCTTTGGGATGAGAACAAATCAACGCCGGGGGGCGCTAGAGAGCAGGCCAGGGAAGTGCCAGACGAAGAAGAAAGTTGGCAGAGCCTGGGGTCATGCCTGGTTTTGCAGGCTTCGCTAAAGAACTTGTCCCTAAACCTAGAGGTATTAGGGAATCAGGGAGGGCTTTGAATCAGTGAGGTGGCCTGGCAGGACATGAGATTCCCCCCAACTGCTCACAAAGGATGAGTCAAAGGGGCGAGCCTGAAGGCAGGGGGACCAGTGTAAGTGATGGTGTTACTGCCTGGTTCAGCCTTGTTCCTATCAGTGTTTGCCCTTCTAATAAAGGTCATTTGTTGCTCCAAACGCTAGTCTCTTGCCTCTCTTTCCCTTTAGGATGCGAGCTCACAAGAGCAGAGGAGTTGATGGCTTTTTTTCCACTGAGGTTCTTACTAAGCTCCAAGAAGAGCCTGGGATATCAGTTTCCTGGGTGAATGAATGAGGCCTGGGTGAGGGGGGTGGAGAGTAGAAAGAGGAGATGCAGAGACATGACACAGAAAGTGATTGGCAGGACTAAGGTGAAGGCCTCAGTCAGATGGGAGATGGATGTCCAAGGCCTCCAATACTCGTGAACTGATAGTTTTGGCCCCACTCAGAGGAGATCAGGTGATTCCTGGCAGGACAGAAGTGGGGGGCTGGAGAGGGAGACTGAGGCAGAGACCATGGGTTGTCCTGGACCTGAGTACATTGGGAGGGCCACAAAGGATGGTTTTAGGTGAATGAGGAACTTCTGATAAAAACACAGTGCAGACCTCAGGGGCAAGTATACACAGCAGCCTACATATTCTAGGGAGGCTAGGGATGCAGCTTGTTGGTGGGGCATTAACATGGTCTTCCTGTAAAGCACTATAAAGAGAAAGGGATAAAGAATCAGATGAGGTAGGGTTGGCAACGTATTTTACTTCATCCCACACAGCCACATGATGACCTCAACAGGTTATCAACAGGAATCATCCAGGAACTAGTTCACCTTCCTCTTTTTGGGTACAAAGTCTTGGCAAAATTGTGTGTGTGTGCTGTGCAGCACATCCCAGTTTGGAGCAGTCACTGGCCAAGGGCTGGAGGCCACATGATCAGTGCCACCATATCAGACAGCACAGGTAGGTGCTGGAGCCCATCCACCTGCAATGAGGCTCTGGTTGGGGCCCCAGGGACACCAGCCTGGCTGGGGATGGGGAGGTGGAGAGAAGGCGATGCCAGGGCCTATGAGCCCCTCGGTCCCCTGCCCTGTTGCTTTCTTCGGTTCATTCCTCATCCATCTGTTTGTATGATAGACTTCCATTGAACCTCTACTGTGTATGAGGCATGGTACACAGTACCATGTACATGCTGGGCTACAGTAATAAACACAGGATTTGTTTGATATGTGTGTGTGTGTTGTTGTTGTTGAAGTACACAGGTGTGCATACTCATGTGTGGGTGCTAAAGGTAGACAGCAGATCCTCTCTCGCCCTCTGCTTTATCATGTTTTCATTAATTTGGCTCTTTGACAATTGCACACATGTACACACTGCATTCTGCTCACTCTCCCCCACTCACTCTTTCCTCCCTGCACTGCTACCTCACCTTCCCACCTGTCTCCTCCTCAGACTCCTGACTTTTGGTTTGGTTTTGTGACTCATTCAGCTTAGCCAGGGCTGCCTGTGTGGCCATTAGGTTGAGACCACCCACTGAGCCTGGTGGGCTCACTCGTGGACAACTGAAAGCCACGATTGTCACATTCCTTGAATCTATCAGCAGTGAGGGTGGGTAACTCCTCCCCCATGCTTGCTGGGATGGAGCCATTCTTGTGCAGATCCAGTGCAATCCAAGGCTGTTGAAAGTTCATGACTGCGATGGCTGTGTGTTCAGAAGGTGGCGTTTCACAGCCTCTCTCCCTATCTGCCAGTTCTTGCCTTCTGCCCCTTCCAGTGTTCCTGGAGCCTTGGAAGCAGTGGTAGAAAAGTCTCGTGTAGGGCTGAGCTTCATCAACTTTATTTTTGAGACTGGATCTCTCTCTCACTGAATCTAGAGCTTACTAATTCAACTAGACTAACTGTGCAACAAGTCCCAAGGGATCCTCCTGTCTCCATCCATCATGCAGCTGGGGGTACAGTTAGGTACTGAGGTTAGAACTCAGCCCTGAGAGTAGTCATTCTCAGGTGAAGAGGCGGATGCCCAGAGAAGGTGAGTGTCTTTCTGGGGTCACACAATCTTTTATTGCTCTGCGTTACATGAGTAACCAAGATGTGAGTAAAACTCCAAGGGAGGAGGTCAGAGACCTGGTGGCATCTACTACCCATCAGTGACGTAACACAGGGGTGGAAGCAGGGCCCGGGATCGCCGTGTGAGGCCACGTGTTCAAGCCCTGCGACCTTGGGGAAGATGACCCGACCTTCTAAGTTTCAAAGTTATCTTGATAAAATGGGCAAACTAGCCTATCTCCCCACTGGCCACATGATGGGCACAAAGGCACATGGCGTGTTAGAAAGGGTGGCACAAGGCTTTGGGAAAAGATCCATTTTCTAAAATGTACCACCAACTCTATGTTTTACATTGGAACCCTGACTCTGACTTGGTTGCCTCCAGCAGGGGCTTCTCATGAGTGAAACTCTGGGATGTGTGTCTGGGGCCTGTGGTTCGGGAGGGAGTGTCTTCCTTTAGGATCTCTTTTGTCTTACCGTGCCAAGTAAATTAAATAGCTCTTCTTCACAGACGAGGAACCCAAGTCACAGAGAAACTTGATGACACGCTCCAGCCAGGAAATAGCCATGTAGCTTTTAACCTTGGCTTCCCTGTCCAGAGGCATCGCATCTGTCTTCAGCCTAGCATGTGAAGGTGATGATTTGTCTCCAGAGGTCACAGTACAAATAGCCTGTCCCTCATGGGCTGGGGTCAGCATGCATCGTGCATACAGGGACATTGGCAGGGGCCAGGAGGCTGCGGGCCAGGCGTGGCCGGATCCACAGGTTGAAGACTGTTCCTCTGGGCTTCCGGACTCCGTGCCTTCCACTGCAGCCCCTTCCCTAGGCCACCTCCCTTCCTGGCCCGGTGCTGGGGGTGACCATCGGGTGGAGTGGCATCCGGGCTGGGCTAGAACTGTGAAGAGAGTGTCTGGGCAGAGACTGATGGCCTGTCATTTGGCTGCCGGCACATCCTCAAATTCTTTGTCTCTTCAAGTGGGGACTTGGTGGGGGTGGGGAAGAGAGACAGAGCAGAAGAAACGGGAGGTGGAGACAGTATGGGGTTGTGAGTGCCTCCATAGTCTGCTGCCCCGCTGTTGGGTAGCCTGAAGACTTGGTCTAGAGTGTGTGTGTGTGTGTGTGTGTGTGTGTGTGTGTGTGTGTGTGTGTCTGTCTGTCTGTCTGTCTGTCTGTTTGGGGGAGTCAGGCCCTGATTCTCAGCTTTGAGGCTAGATATGACTTCAAAACCCTGCCTCTGCCCCTCACTCTCAGGAGCACCTCTAGCCAGTCTTTTTCTGGTTTCCTGTCCCAGGCCTCTGTGTCTCCATCTAGGCAATGGGTCTGAAGCTCTGACTTGTGCTCCATGTAAAATTGGGTTGATCAGAGCGTTTGACCCTGGCGTTCCAGACAACTCTCTCCGTAGCTAGGACAGCAGGGGCTGAATCAGCACCCTCCAAGGGAAGAAGTGAAAGGCTGGAAGAGAGAGTCTTCCCTACTGAGGAACCTGCCAGGAGGGCAAAGCCAGGCTGGCAGCCCTGGGACGGGGTAGACAAGGAGGCAAAGGCAACAGAGCTGTCATCTGTCTCGAGAGAAACAGCCTGCCATTATTGGGGTCTCCTCCACACATGGTTCCCATTGGATCTCCTGGACCCCAAAGGTTCTGTCTCCAGTGCTCCCACAGCCTGGATTCCCATCCCTGAGCCACAGCTTGGCAGCTCCAGCCACCACTGTAGGCTTCCCACAAGCTTGTCTGCACCTGGGCTTGTGTGGACAGACTTAGTCATGCGCACACAAGCACAGCCACCCCAGGCACAGAGCCCTGCCCACGGCACACACCAACTTGTAGAATTACAAGTGCCCCGGGGCAGGCTGAACTGCCAGCAAGCAGAGACCCCCTTTGTTCCCACCACCACCACCACCACATGCAAGTATGCCCCTTTGTGGGGAGCCCAGGACAGGGCTCAGCTTTCCCAGAATCCCTTGAGCTGTCAAAGGCATACAGTATCCCAGAAGGCTGTCTTGATGGCGATGCTGGGATGAAGGGTCCTTTGCAGGGTCCCTGACACCCTTTTTGATAAAAAACAAAAACAAAAAAACAAAAGAAAAAACAAAAAACCCAAAACTAGATGGCTGGGGAGCATTCTCCAGCTCCTGGAGCTTCAGCAACAAAAGCTGTAACCATTTTTATTCTCTCCGAAGCTGCTCTAGGGGGAAACTGAGGCTTGGAAAGAGGAGCCAGGATGGCCCTAGGACAAGGCTGGGGGTCAGAGGCAGATTCAATGGCGTGTCGGTGGATTTCCCAAATGCGTGCTGACAGTGGACCCTGCAGCTAGCCCCCTTCCCCCTTCATCCCAGCACCCAAGGGCTCCCGGGCACAAAGCCACTTGGCGGCGCTCGAGGGGGCGCGCGTAGGAGCGCGCGCGACGGCCCGCGCCTTCGGCCAAGATGTTCCCTCTCTGCATGATTGACAGATTCGAGTGCCGAGAAACAAAATTGTTTATGCGCTAATGAATAAGGCCCTGATTGCAAGATCCTGTTTGGAAAATTATAGTGCGGCGGCG